GGAGGGAGGGAGGGAGGGAGGGAGGCAGGTGGGGAGAGAGAGAAGAGAGTCCTCACAGAAGCCACACTGTTTAACACTTGTGCCCAGAAGATGGCAGCAGAGAGCAGATCCTGAAGCCTGGCCAGTCTGGCCTGAGCTGGGCACCCTCTAAAATACCCCTGGGTCCAAGATCTGTTTCTTGTTAGTAACAGTGTGTCAATGGATGTCCTAGGCTGACCGGGATGAAGGCTCCGAGGTGGACAAGGAGCTCGCCAGCCGGGACGCCAAGGATCTGTACGACGTAAGTGTGCAGTTGCGCTGGGTTCCGCAGGCTTCTGTTTTTCGTTTATTAACATGGTTTTCAACAAATGTTTCTTTATTTCACGCAAATGGGAGTTAGATGAAAGATAAGTGTGATTTTTAAGAAATAAATATAGCCTACACGTGCCTGTTTAGATCGTGTAGAAAGAATCGTTCCTATTCTCCTATCCTGAGAAGGAGTTAACCTTCCCACATCCATTTTGGGATGAACACGAGTATAAAAGATATAAATAAAAATGCAGGGCGTGCCTGTGTGTCAGAAGTGTAGCGTGCGTAGTCTGCCCATGTGGCTTCTGTGGGGCGCGTGTTTATGACAGCAAGGCCTGGTCGGACCACAGTCTGCACGAGGCCCTCCTCACCCTACTGATGTTTGCCCCAGGCAGGGGAAGGCCGCTGGGGCACTGAGGAGCTCACCTTCACTGAAGTCCTGGCCCAAAGGAGCCATGCACAGTTACGAGCCACCTTCCTGGCCTATCAGCTGGTAAGTACAGCACCCCGGTTTCCAGGAGCAGTTGGGTCTGGGTGTGGAGCTGAGGGTCCTTTACACTTCGATTCTGGAGGGGCCTGAGCCCACAGAGCTCAGGACAGTCCCACAGCGAAGAAAACCAGCCCCAGTCGTGGCACCCAGGCTCGGCGACCCTGGTGTGTAGCAGAGATGAGGGAAGCGGGGATGTCACAGCAAAGTCCTGCAAGCCAAGGGTCCGGCCGAAAATCTTGGTTCTAAGGTGCCATCTTCTCTTATAAAGCAGGGACCATGAGCAGATGTTCCAAGAGTTACGTTAAAAGCTGAGGAAGAGAGAGCCTCCAAATAGAAAAATATCTGCTCTTGTTTTCATTACTCCTGCTAACAACTGGGACAGCAGTGCCTACCACTCTCGGGACAGAGCTGTTGTGCTTCAGAGCCAGGTTCCTGAACAGACCTGTGAGGATTCTGTTTTAACCTCATGATCATTTTAAGCCAGCAAAGCAAGTTAGTTATTTCAAGGTACTTAGTGATAAGGGCTCCTCTGAAAAGATATTTTAATTTGCAAAAAGCCATAAGTGGAATATCAGATATTCCCTTTTCTTTCTTTCCTTCTTTCTTTCTTCCTTTCCTCCCTCCCTTCCTTCTTCCTTCCCTTTCTTTCTTTCCTCCCCCTCCTGTTTTATTTTTGTAAAATGCTGTTTTTCACAAATTCAAACCATGTCTATTCCCTGTATATCATTTCAATGTTACAATAGCGTAAGTGTAACATAGGCTGAACAATTACCGCAGCTCCGCCTGCCAGCGAGAAGACCTCTGTGACCTACAGGACCACACAGCAAGTCAGTAGCAGAAAGTGGACAAGAGCAGGACACCCTGGCTGAGCCCCTCCCTCTGCCGAGCTGGCTGCTCCTCACTCAGAATAGCCCTCCTATGTGTTGGCAGCAGATGAAAAGACAAGCGAGCTTTGGAATTTTATCATTTCTGCACACATGCCTCGGGGCCCTCTGCCTCCAGTACTGGTCCAGATCGAAGGCCACTGACCCGTATCTCCTGGTCACTGTGCCCGGAGGACTTTCCCATGACTGGTCCTCTTCCCACGTGACAGGGACCACAGCCAGGGCTTCCAAGGATGTCTGTCACTGGTGATCACTATGGAAACACACACATGACTGCATGTTTGCATCCGTGACTTCTGTGATCTGGTGGCTACCTACCTGCAAGGGCACACTAAGCCAATGCAGCATCTTCAAGTTAACAGCACCAGAAGCACTTAAGAAGCTGTTAATGAAAATCCTCAGTTCCCACCTGAACTACTCAATCAGATCCTTGGGGTTCATGTCTGACCATCCCCAAGTCTCAGCAAGTCTCCCAGTGATTCTGATCTGATACGTGCTGAAGGCTAGAAAGTCTGACCTGGGCTACTAAGTCCATGACCTTGGGCAAGTTATTAAGGAGCTCTTTGCCTCTGTTTCCCAATAGTACCTACTCCGTGGGATCAATAAGAATTGAATGCAGTAATAAAAGTTAGCACTCAGGACCTCCTGAGCAGTAAGCACTCAGGAAACATTCGTCAAGCACCAGTAACCAGAGCAAGGGCTCAAGTGGACAGTGAGGCTACATGAAGCCAACCCTAAAATGCCATGAATGTTCCTCTATTCCAAAACCCTTGCTCTAATGCCATTCATCTTAATCTTTATTGTTAGCTTTTTAAGAGTTCATCATGCTTTTAGGGCCTGGGGTTCTGTATGCTGGTGATGGTCTCTGTCCAAAAGCACAGAAATGCTAGTGTGAGTTCACTGGAGTGTGTTAAACATTAGGTCACCCTGGCATAGAGGTGAATCTTAATTTTTGGCACCAAATTCAGGGTTTTGCTTGTTATTTGCCCTCTAGGCCTGAGGCTTAATTTCTGATGCCCTCAGAAATCCTGGCCCTAGTGACAGGGCCCCCATCTGCTGCATCGTGCAAGACCATCACCGCCCAGGACTACCAGGCAGGCACGCCAGGCTTCAGCTCCTACACCTCTGTCCTCAGAGGCCACGTGCAGAGGTTCTGCAGTCAGCACTCTGCCAAAGCAGAGGAGTCCTTTTAAAAGGAAGACAATCACATGGGAACCTGTTAAAAATGCAAATTCTCAGTCCTCATCCTGGACTTTATAATATAGAATATTCTCCTGCTATAATAGGACCTCCCTCATTCTCCCAGTAACCTCCCTAGGGGCACTGCAGCCTGTGTAACCAGAGTCTCTGAGCCTTGTCCACAATCTACCTCCTAATGTGTTTTTGTTCTGAGATCAAAAGCTTGGTTCCATGCACATAGTCCCTAAGAATCAGATGTTCCTGCAAGTGAAGTGAAAAGCTTGCTAAGGAGCCTCCCAGCAGCTCAGCCAGTCTGTGGCTTTCACACCAAGTTCCACGGAGATCGTGGAAGGAGATGCCTCAAAACGCCACCAGGATGGGGGTGAAGCCAGAAGAGAACAGGAGATCACATGATCTCATCAGATTTTTGCGAACCACACCCGCCGGAGTTGTGCAAGGAAGAACTCCTGGCAGGCAGAACACGGCATTGATGCCTAGGGCTCACATAAGGAGATCAGCTCTGCTTGTCCACTTTCATCTGTCTTACAGGCTATAAAACACTGGAAAAACTCTTGTCTAGCCCCAATGCTCTTTCTATTAATGATAGAAATGGTAAGTGGTTTAATGGGACAAGTTTTTAGTAAACACAGACTTGCATAAACAAAAGGAAGGTCTTGGAATGCAATCTCAACCTACAGAACAAGAGCCATGTCTGGGGAGCTGACACCCGCCCCTTCCAAAACACTACCTCCCACATCAAACCCAGGAAGGTGGGCGAAGCTAAGCAAAGAGCAGGATTGAAAGTTCGTTCTCCTTCATCTCTGGTTTCCATCGCAAACACAAAGACATCTACATATGCGAGCAGTTGCTGGGCATGCGACACAGAGCTTCACTACATCTGAACCACAAGAATGTTTTGTTCCCCTGTGTTTTCACAATAAAACACACAAACTCCACTAGCATGTACTCAAAGGCCCCAATAATCTGTGGGATCAATGGTGTCATATTCACAAAAGATAATTTCTAGAAAGAGGCAAAGTGTTCAAACCCAGAAAAGCACCTCCCTTTCTCTTTCTTTGCCTTCCCTGAGCTTGGCCCAGGCACTATTTGTGTTAAAGAGAGTTTCAATTTACTCTGGCTTTAGCTTCTCTAAATATTTGAAATGTGTAATGCTGTGCAGAGACAGGTGAGCCAGTGGTGGAGAGAAGACCATCTGCAATCACCCAGAGAGGAGGAAAATAGCATTTCGTGGGGTCAGCTCTGGCTCCCAGCCTGTGCAGCCCAGTCATTCAGGAGTGTTAGATTGGGTTCTTTGTGAACCTCAGAGCCTCCACTCATCCCCCCGGGTGAAGCAACAGAATCCCCAGTCCCAAGGCAAAGAGATGAGGGAGATGAAGGTCAGACTCATCACCATGTCCTCCTAGGAACTTAGAACTGGGAATGGTGAAAAACACATTGGAAATTAAAATACTGAACAACATAAAGAATTATCATTGCCGTGTATATTAATTGCTCCTCCACTCTCTAATTTTACAGATGAGGAAAGTGAGACCAAGGGGATGGTGTTGGCTGGGCCAAATCTTTTAGGGTTCCCAGTGGGACTCGCTCCTCAGTAGCGAGAGCCCCTCCCCACCCAACAAGGCAGGGAGGCTCTCCTTACAGCTGCAGCACTAAATCTGGAAGAATTTAGCACTTTTCACAGGAAATAACCCCAAGAGGGTGAAAAGCCATCCCGGAATGACAGCTGGACTTTGCTTGTCTCTTCAGCTCATTGGCAAAGACATGGAAGAAGCCATTGAAGAGGAAACATCAGGAGACTTGCAAAAGGCCTACTTAACTCTTGGTAAGGTAAAATTAGGAGTTCCCATCCTAGGTTGGGCTCCCTGGAACCAAACTTGGGGACTGAGGTCTGCATGTAGGAGGATTTAGGGAATAGTTTGGGGCCCAACATATCAAAGCAACATCAGGCAGGGGACAGAGTGAGTGTGATGCAGCTCCTGTCACATCTCATGAGACCTCTGATGCTGGGATGTCCCAGTGGAGCAGGGGAGTCAGGTCTGTACCCAACGTCAACCATCCTTAGGTGCAGGCTGCACCCAGGGGGCATTTGCCACCTGGGGCCAGTCAGCTGCATCACTTGGAGGGCAGCTCCTGGGGAGGGACCCAGCTGTGGGCAGTCAGCAAGTGACCCTTAGAAAAAGTGCCTCGATTCCAAGGAGGGCGTCATGGTCCACTGCAACCCTGCTGAGAGGATGGGTCCCTGTGAGCATCCATCAGGAGCCCAGGACACAATATACAGTTCACTCAACATGCACTGAACAGTGTCCACACATAAGGTCCATGAACAAGTCTGCCTAATGGCTTCAGGGTTTTCTTTTCAATTTGATTCCCTTAAGCATTCATAAAGAATATGTTCTGTTTAGAAAGAGAGGCAGGAGATGAGGTTCTGACCATGCCAAGCAAACCCCAGGACCTTCTCTCTGGGGATTCCCCAGAGGCAGGAAATGGCAGAGAGATGGGCATGGGGCTGTGTCTGCCAGGCTTGTTTTTTCCTTGTGCAATCTCTGGAATGAAGGCATTGTCCATTGTCCACACTGCTTGGGGGAAGAGTCCAGGGCACTATCCCAAATGGCACAAGAAATGGAAAGACTCATCCCCAGAAGGGGAAGAACCCAAAGAAGCAGCCCTGGAAGTTAAAAAATGTGCTCCAGTTGCCAAACTGTTTGGTTTTTTGGTTTGGTTATGCTAAACAATGGCAACAACTGACTCTTTTCCATCCGTGCTCGAGTTGCATTCAGAGCTGGTACCGTGATGTACACAGGTGTGAGCATCCCCCCTGCTGCTCCTGGCCCACACACTTACGCTCCAGCACGGACAACTGTCTTTCGGGCTGTGAGAGTCTGACAAGCAAACAGAGGGCTCTACTCATGTACCGGTTCCGGGGATCCAGATGACTGTCTACTTGGTGTGGCGAGCCAGGAGCACACCACACAGTCAGAAGACTTAGCACTCAGTTCCTTCTTGGCCCCAGGGGCTGTGCTGGGTGCCAGGATGAGAGGCGGAAAAGACCCAGTTCTTGCTCCTCAGGAGCTTAAGCCCACAGGAGACACATAGGGCAAGAGAGGCCACAAGAGAAACAATGAGCAGAGCAAGGAGTGCACAGAGGGCAGGAGCCAGTGCTCAGGGTTGGGAGCCACAAGGCGCTGTTCTCAGGGATAGCGAAAGTAAAAGTAAGAAGACCCCAAGCGCAAACCACAGAGTGCACGGCTGGCTACACAGCCACTTCTAGACATTCTCCCACCGGCTCCCACTCAACACCAAAAGATGCCAGTTTATAGCTAAAATCGGGAAGGTAGGCAGAGACCAAATGACTGCTACCAGGAGCAGCCTTCGCAGCTGGGGTCCAGGAACCAGAATCAGAATATCTTGTCACACTGGTTTCTGGAGTAGGGACTCCAGATTTCCCACAGAAAAGCCCAGAATGGAGTGGTGTGTGGGAGGAGACTGTCTTGTAGTCACTGAAGTTTAAGAATCCCTGCTTTTGCCCCACTGCAGTACTGGGGATCAGCCTAGGGGCGCTCTGCCTTGAGCCACACCCCCAGCCCATTTTTCTTCTTAGACAGTCTTCCTAAGTTCCCAGGCTGGCCTCCAACTCTCCATCTTTCTGCCTCAGCCTCCTGACTAGCTAGGATTACAGAGCTGTGACACCACACTCTGCCTCCCCTGCTCTTCAAAGGCTGTGAAAGCGGCTGCCCCATTCCCGTCACTGTGAAGTTTTCCTCCACACCCTCCCTGCCGCTGCCAACAACAGAAGCTGCTCTCCAGGCATAGGTTATCTAGGTAGAGAAGTTGAGGCTTCCCTCCCATGCTGTGGGGAAGCAGGATGTCACAGGAGGAGCCCTCTATGTGGTAGATTCTGTGCACAACGGCAGAAAGCAATTACAGCAACTCAGTGCTACAGGAGAAGAGAACCCTCGGTGTCAGTAACTCCGACTGCCTAGGAACCACAGTAAGTTTCAAATGTCCTACTCCGCAAAGCAGCACACAACTTCCCACCACCACCACCAATAGCCACAGCCCGGGAGCTTTGGATTGTTCTCAGGGTAAAGAAATCAGACACTGGGGTCTGCTTGTTGTTTTGATTATTTGTGGTACTGGGGATTAAACCCAGGCCCTTTACGTTGCCACACTAAACTACATCCCCCAGCCGCCTCCTTCTCTTCTTCCTCCTCCTCCTTCTTTTTTGACAAGGTCTCACTTAGTTGCTAAGTTGCCCAGGGTGGGCTCAAACTTCGATTTTCCTGCCTCTGGGAGATACAGCTCCTGTTGCACAGGGCTCCGTGAAACTGGGATGGCCCAAGGAGCAAGGGAGCCAGATCTCCGCACCCCAGAGTGCTGGGATCGCGGGCAGGCACCCCACACCCCAGCTGCAGACGGCTGTCTGGCTTTCTCTTTTCCACTAGAGCTCTGGGGCTTCCTCCTGGTCTGTGAAAGAAGACTGAGCCCAACCCAGACTCTGCTTCCCTGGTCTCACTCCTCTCCTCCTTGCCTGTACTAGTCACTCACATAGAAGATCACCTAGAAAACAAGAACCCCGTGACAGGCCCTGTTAAGTTTGCACATTTCACACTTACGCTGAATTTACTATCAAAAGTGAACATTAAACGGTGTAAGTGTTCTGGAGAAATGTTAACAACCTACAGTGAGCCTCCGGAGAAGGGAGAGACATGGTGACACCCTGGGGTGCAGAGGTCCCTCACTGCCTAGTCACACTGATCTGTGACTAGAGCAGAGCTGGCGGGCAGGGGCGACAGGAAGGGGCACAGAGCAGAGTGGAGAAAAGCGATCTTAAGAAGGAACCAAACACCACATCCAGCCCTCGTCCCAGCGCTCAAGCTACGGAGATCACAGGAACCTGGAGAGGGGTCACAGCGGAGCTGCGCAAAACACAGGCTGGGGAGGAAGAGAGGGGAGGCGCGGGCCGCGGAGGACGCTTTCCGAGGACTAGGGTCTATTACAGAAGGGTGCGGCCCCTCGGGCTCCCCCAAGGTAGGGACAGTGGCCACTCTGCTCCCCAAAGGCCCCGACAGCCTAGGAGACCTCACCTTCGGAGGCGGCTTGGGCCTGGCCCTGGCTGGAGAGCCTAGTGTCCGACTCCCGCAAGGGAGTTCAGCGCCTTCAGCCCAGGGGAGACTGGTGACCCGGGGCCCCCGCACACCCCACGTGAAGGCCTCACTGGCCCCTTTGGTTGCCCGCAGTGCGATGCGCCCGGGACCGAGAGGGCTACTTTGCTGACCGTCTGTACCAGGCCATGAAGGGTGCGGGGACCGATGAAGAGACGCTGATTCGCATCATTGTCACCAGGGCTGAGGTGAGACTCCTCCTCGTCCCTGATGTCATCAACTCGTAGCCCCTCTAAAAGCCTATTTACAGAAAGATGAGGCCGAGACGGCCCTTGCTTTCCCGGAATCTGCAGACTGCTCTGCTTCAGTCTGTTTCTTTTTATAAAAATACAATGACTCACTGCTATTTCTGTGTCTGTGGCTCCCGGCATGAGAGGCGCTGTGTGCAGGGAACTCGCAGAGCCATTGGAGGAGGCTGGGCTCTGCCTGGCTCCACCACGGAGTCAAAACGGACTCTGGCAGCCGTCACTTTGCTCGGGGAGAGCAAGCAAACATCTCCCTGCTCCCAAGGGGCTTTTCTGTAACTGGACGTACAGTAGAAGAAAATTGTATACATCCATTTAACAGAATGTTTCTCAACCTTCTTTTTTATTGTTGTTTTTCGGTTTTGTTGTGGTTGTGCTTGTTGTTTGGGTTTTTTGTTTGTTTGGGGGGGGTTGGTACTGGGGAACGAACTCAGGTCCTTGCACTTGTGAGGTAGGTGGCACTGAGCTAAATCTCCAGCCCCTCAACCTTCTTTTTATTGCCCTCTAGTAAGCCTTTTTAGCCATACCCTTTCTTGATGGCTGCACTTGAGAAACAGTTTAGCAAAACAAATATTTGTTTATGTGCTGTAAGAAAGATTTCCTCCCAGGAGCAGAGATGCTCTATAAGCTAAAGACCAGGGGGTGTTTAAACCGCTGAAGACCACTCTTGGTATATGTGTCTTAGAAAAGGGGGGCGGATATGAAGAGGAGGCCTGGGAGCAGTGCCAGGACCCACAGCTAATGCTTTGGGGTGCGGCCACCAGGGAAGGGGAACCCTGGAGAAATAGTGCTTCATCTGCCATCCCAAAAGCCCTGGAAAGTGAAGTGGAACTAAGCAGTTGAAAACCACACACATCTTCCCTCAGAAATAAAAAACGGTTAAAGGAAAAGTGGTACCAACCCAAATTCTCACCCGTTCTCAACAAATACCTAACATCTGATGCTGTTTTTAAATATAACTTTGCAGCAAGATGGTTCTTTCATTTCTGTGCCTGGACTCTCCCCTGCCCGCTCACACTCCCCTCTCTCCTCACCCTCCACCGCTGGCTTCTTTCTTCTCTGTCTCGAAGTCCCTTTCTCCCTACCCACGCCCTTTGCCAGCCTCTCTTCCCTCCTGCAGTTCTCGCTCCCTTCCCTCAAGCTCGCTCCCTTGTCTTCCCAGACGCTTGCTCTCGGTCTTCGCAGTGCAACCCCAGCCAGTCATGGTGAGGTCTTGAGGGACTGAAGTGTCACAACAGAGCAGACCTGGGGCTCCCAAAGACCCCAGGGAGGTCAGATCCACCCACAGGTCTTGCCAGGATCCGAGTTCCCTCCAACCTGGACCACAGCACATGCAATTCCCAGATGCTTGGTGGGACTACATGTCCTGGGTCATCTCCTCAGAATGCTTCAGACCTGGAGAGACATCGTGTAGCCGGATCGCCGACTCCAGAGCCACAGGGCACTGAACAGTCCCAGCTCCGCCTCCTCCAGGGGTCTCTCTCCTACTCAACCTCCACTCCAAGCTCCTCTCCTCCACCTGTCTTTTTTTCACCTTCTTCTCTCTCAGTTCAGCTCTACCTGGGGCAGGAGAAGAGAGATGGACACAGAATCAGTTTCCAAATCTGAAGTGCAGAGTAGGATCTCTCCAAAGAGAAAGGAGTTCTGGCCAGAACGTTCTGGACTTCTTTTTTGGGGCTCGTGTTGTTCAATTTGGAAGTGCATCTTTTCTATGCAAGAGTTACCTCCCTTGTTAGCTATAAAAAGTCTTCAGCAGAGCAATCTCTTATCTATTTTTCTCTTAAGTCCTACACCTACCTCTTACACTTAGGTTTTTATGATTTTAATAAGCTGGATTCAAACTAGGTCCTACAGATCAATATTGATTTGAATTTTGTTGATATTAATATCCTTGACGGATAACTTGTTGATACCATTATCCTGGCCAATCAGGGTGCAAGGAAGATGAATCTCAAACCTCTGTGTCCACAACTTTCTTCACCTCCTCCGAACGGCTGGCACACTGAAGCCCGCAGGCCACACAGGGCCACCACTTGTTTTTGTACAGTCTTGCTATCTGCGAAGAGTTCATTTCCAAATCACATAAAAATCTCAAGAGAAAAATACTATTTTGTAGTAAAAATCACATGGTATTCAAGTTTGGGGTTCCATAAATAAAATTTTAATGAAACATACAGACCCTTCTTCCACCTTTGGAGGACAGAACTTAGATTTCCTTTTCTTATCTCCAAAACTGGAAATAATGATAGTTCTACCTCAGAGGTGTACTGAAAGCATATGGGAGTTTAGGGGCAGGCCTGCCGTTCACAGTGAACCCACACACTACTAACATTGTGCCCCATGCTGCTGTACCCTTCCTGCAGGTGGACCTTCAAGGGATAAAGGCCAGGTTCCAGGAGAAGTATCAGAAGTCGCTCTCCGACATGGTCAGCTCAGACACCTCCGGGGACTTCAAGAAACTGCTCGTGGCCCTGTTGCACTGAGCCCAGCCAGAGCATGGGGGAAAGCACCTTGCGAAGAACACGTTCCAAATCAAATGTGCAAATGCAATGCCAGCACAAGAAACCCTTGGGCCTTGTTTCTTTTCCTGGCAGTGTAAGTGGTATAGCAAAGCCAAGCTGTTTAAGTTTAAAGGCAGCAACCTCCAATCGCTTGGGCAGGTTGCCTTGAACTCTGGCTTAGCAAGTGTCTGGGCTGACTTAACCTTCCTGCAGCATAGTCACCAAATGCTTCCTAAGCACAAATAAAATCAGCAGCTGATGAAAACTATGTTCGTGTTTGTAATAAAATGTTTAGAGAATATGGGCTGCACAGGAGTGTGCACGGTCCAGGTAAAGACTAAACAGTTAAGGTACAGGGAAAACAAAATTAGCCAGTTTGTTGATTTGCCCTCTGTGTGTTTAATTTTAAAGCCTCCCTAGTAATTAAAGGTGTACATTATGCTTCTCTCTGCTCCTTTTTCCAAACTGGCTTGATTAGTTTGGGTTTTTGCCCAGGAAATACCCAACTTGGATGAAGTTCAAACATCATTTGGGGAATGCAGTTACCTCTGTTAACAATCACTAAGGACAGTAATCAAGACTAGCAGAAAGGAGACATTGACTTGCCCATGTGGAGTTTAACTAGAACAAAATTCACTCTCATGCTGCCTGGTTAATTGGGTTCTCTTACCTCTCCAGACATCTGACTCCTTTTAGTCTCTGCCCATCTTCAAATACAGTTACTGCAAAGTGCTACAGGGTCCCAGCCAACAGCCCCTCCATCACCCACAGAATCTCTGCTGAGAGACATCGCCCCAGCCTCATGGAGCTAGATGCAGGGGACCCTGTCATGGCTGGGCACCTGCGTCTGAGGAATATAGCTGTCCCTCACTGGTTGTCCCTGGCATTTCTAACTAGTGTAATTTTATACTTAATCTCCTCCAGCTCTGTGAGGTTGGTATTATTGCCATTTATCAACTGAGGAAACAGACGTTAAGTAAATTCATTTGCAAGCAACAGAATTAGGACTGGAATCCCAGGCTGGCTTACTCCAGAAATCACCTACTAAGCACCTTTCTTGGAAAAGTAACTCAGAGTACATAGGAATGGGTCTGTGTATTCATTCATCTACTTAATCCCTACTCTGTATTAATCATCATATGGAAGATACAAAATCCCAACGCAAACCATGTCCTGGTCCTTTATTGCCAGGCCAGAAAAGTAGCCTGATGTCTCCGTGACTCAACAGAATGCTGTATGTGCATTAAGGAAAGCAGATCTACTCATAAGAAAGAAGAGGGAGCCATACTCTGCATGGGGGTCTGGAGAAGGCTTCGCAGAGGTACATTTGCATTGGGTTTTAGCAAATACATAGAAGCTCTGAGGCCTGGCAGCATGGACAGGCAGGATGTGCTTAGAAAGAGGTGAAATGTTCTTTTGGAGCATAGAGGTGGTAAAAGGAGAAATAGGGGGGCAATGAGGCAGGGAATGTATAGTGGAAGTCCATTGCCACTGGTTTTGCCTGTCACGTGTGAGCTTGGTCCTTGCCACAGTGGCAGTCACTGGGGACATCTAACTAGATCGGATCTCGGTCTTGGGAGGTCACTCTGGTGAGGCAAGTAACAGAGCAAATAGCCCAGCACTTAGTCTAGTGATGACATCACATCCTGGGGTAATCTTTTAGGGGATATAAAATGAGGATTGATCAATCAAGAAGTTACATCAACATTGGTGTCTTATCTGCCTAGCAATTGTTGCCATCACTATGAGATTTAATGCATAAAAAGCATTTTCTAGAGCCAAGCTCAGTAACAAAACAGACACACCTTTACTTATTTGTTCCAAATAAATCGTCTTCTCTCTCTCTCTCTCTCTCTCTCTCTCTCTCTCTCTCTCTCTCTCTCTCTCTCTCTCTCTCTCTCTCTCTGGTACCAGGTATTGAACTTGGGATATTGCCCTTGTGAGGCAGGTAGCAGAACCTCTGAGCTAAGAAAAAATGAAAGCAAAGTCTTTGTAAACAGGGAAGGGTGAAGGAGGTAAAGGGAGGGCAGGGGAATGGGGAAAAAATAAGAACCAAGATACACCATGTAAAGGTACAAGATTCCAATGATGAATGTAACTACATTGTTTATCTTAAATGTAGCAAAAAACTTAATGGAAAAAATCTTTAAAAAAAAAAAACAGACCTCTGAATGTAGCTCTCCACTTAGTCTGGGTCTTAATCTCACTTCTCCAGGGAGCTCCCAAGACAATTTACACCCAACCCCACGTAACCGCATAAGAAGTTATTATGGGAAGCACTCTTCCTGCAGACCCATTGTGCAACTCAGGGTTACAGTGAATAATTGCAGTTTGTCTAGTGCACAGGGCAGCCCGGTTGAGGGAGTATTTGGGGTCTGAAATATTTAGGGCTTGAAATTCAGACCTACCTCTCCCCACCAATACTCTGCCTACAGGGTAAGGCTGCCTAGAGAGGATGCCTCCAACTCATTTGCACAGAGCCACCACATGGGCTGGTACCATGTGGGCTGGCACCACGTGGGCTGGTACCAGATGGCTGACATTGTAAGTAATCTCTTGCATAGGAGGCAGGGGACTCTTCCCTGGGCAAAATGCCTTGGTATCAGTCTCCTGTTCCCTGAATGTTAGGTTCAGATTCTCCAGGCAACACACACAGCCATATCAGTCCTCTTCTCCGACCAAGCATGCTGGAGACTGAAGATCAGGAGAGGAATGAGGATAATGGACCAGAAGACATAAAGGAGATGGATAGTAGAGAGGCACAAGGAAGCAGAGCGTGACAAGGGGTCCTGCAGACATCAGCCCAACCAGAGTCAGACATGACAGCCCCTGGAAGGACCCCATCCTCACCCAGAGGGCAGCACGACCTCGGGCCTGGAATATGCAGTCTGGCTCCTTGAGCAGCACGAGAGTAATGCACAGGGCTCCTCCATGCCTTCACCACGTGACAGTCAACAGAAATGTCTCAGATAAGCCCCAGAAGCCAGATAAGCTGAGAAGTAAAGGTGCCAGCAAGGCCAGCTGTGGTATCCGGCTCTCAAGCCAGCAGGGAGGAGCCACCGCACGTAACAGAGAGAGAGAGATATGTCAAGCTGGCCTGGGTCCTTCACTTTCTTCAGTGACCGGGCAGAGGGTGCAGACCAGGAGAATGGGAAACACGAAATCAGGAGAAAAACAAGAAAGAAATAGGATGGTGCTTCAAAACGAACTCTTTATTTCTATATATTTTAGATGTGTAGAAAAGCTGCAATAATCTTGGGGAGAATTTCTATGCACCATGCTCCCGTTCCCGTGATAAGGCCAGTACCATCCCAGCTAATGTGTGAATGTCCACACATCACCACTGAGGAAAGCCAACATTTCACTCACCCTTCCTAGCTTTCACCTCACATCACACTTCTGAGCCAGCTCCTACTGGCTGCCTCACATCACGTTCAGTCACAGTGACTGTTGAGGTGCTTCTTGATGACCATGGGCCCTCAGGTTTTCCATGACCGGGGGAGTTTGAAGAGGATCCCTCAGGTATTTGGTAGGCTGTCCTCCAATTGGGGTTTTCTCAGGCTTAACTGGGGTTAAGGGTCTGGGGGAGGAAGATCACAGAACCAAGGTGCCATTTTGCACTCCATACCAAGGGTGCCAGTGGGGTCAGGGCACTCCCCACAAAGCTACTTCTTGTAACCAGGCCTGTACTGTGGTCATGAAAATGAAGCAGCCTGCACCTAAGTAGTAGGGAGGTTGTGTTCCATTTCCTCCCTCTCTCTCTCTCTGGTCAGGGCTTCTTCCCACAATCAGACTCCTGCCGGCAGGGGCTGCACTCAAGTAAGAAGAGGGGTGAGCCTCAGTCCACACCAGAGCCAGGTGAAGACGAGGTGTGGAGTCGGGCTCTTCCTGCTCACTGGTTTTGGTTTCCAGTAAGGGGCTCTTCAAGGTTGCTTAGAACAAGGACAGCTCGGAACAAGAGAAACCCCAGGCATTTTCAGACTCCAAGCTAGAAGGGAAAACAGAAGCATCCCCCCAGTGAGTAATGTGGGCCAGGACAATGGGACTCCGACCAAAATGGACAACACTAATTGTCTGAACTCTGAATCCAAACCAAGTATTATCTTTTTCACTGTCCGGAAAACAAAATCAGAGTCGTTTTCAAAATCCTACTGAACCAATTCAAATTAGAACCAATCTTTGGAAAAAGTTGAGCCAAGGGATGGGGGTGGAAGGATGGAGAGAGTCAGAAAAGCAAAATAATTTCTGCACAAGTATTCCATTAACATGGTGCACTTGGCACACTGGCGAGCATGTACTATATACATTGTCTGTCAGCAGGAGCTTTCCTAATTGCATCTCATTCAGCCTGTTTGCTAGATTATCCAGTGCGTCACTTACTTTTCTCATGTTGCTGAAACAAAATACTTAATACCCAAAGTTAAAGCGGGAAGTTTTATTTAGCTCCTTTTGTAGAGGTTCCAGTCCATAATCAGCAGGCTCCAAGGCAGAGTGGCACATGTTAGAGGGGCATCACATGGGAGCAACAGCAACAAGGGAACCCTAGCAGTATCTTTCCGCCCCCTTTATCTACCAGGATTAGGGCAGTGCCAAACCAATCCATGTACTGATACAGTAATCACACACTCTTCATCCGAGCAGCACACACCGTGGACTCAGCCACCTCTGAAAAAGCCCTACGGCCACATGAGGCTTTGTGGGGACACCTAGACCCAAACCACAATGCCCAGCCCACCATGCCCTGTCTCCCCTGCAGTCTGTTGGTGGATCCCAGGGTGCTCGGAGGGCTGGCCACAGATGGCACCTGGGAGGAGACCCCCCTCTCTCCCGGGGGGGGCATGTGCTTTACAAGAGTTTGTGCCCAATCCTGTTTGAATCTGTCTGTAAGTAAGTAATTTAATTAAATATTAAATAAGCTGGTCAACTATAAGTGCACTAAAGAACTTGTTTCCACAAGAACCAAACCAAATGCTTTGGGAAGACTACATTAAACCAGGTTGTATTTTTTAAAAAAGAATAAACAGTAATGCTCAATGTCCATCCATAGCTCATTTGTTTGTTTGTTTGTTTGTTTTGGTACCAGGGATTGAACTCAGGTCCTTGCACTTGCAAGGCAGGCCACCAAAACGCTGAGCTAAATCCCCAGAGCACATAGCTCATTTTTTAAGAAAAGTAAATCAACATACATTTGAATATTGCACATGAAAATGAAATGAAGTTATGAATGTTTTACTGATTCTCAACCTTAGGCTTATAAATTACCCCTCT